AATCTTCTGAAATTCATAGTAACTCAGTTTAATATGGTTCAAGTTGCAAAAGTTGTATAAAATAAAGATCTACATATTAAAATTGTCCATAAATTGAATTAAATTTATTTAATTTTTTTTAAATGGGCTTTAATTAGATTTAATCTTGTAAAATTCATAATAAATTCATTTGAAGTCAGAATGAGGCCGTTCAAGTCTCATAATTCATCTAAAATTATGATCTACGTGTTTGTTTACTTTTTATGTACTGTTTATTTGGTTTTTATTAGTCTTTTTCCTCGTTTTGTGTGTTAGCTTGTCGTTTCCGTCGTTGCGAAGGTTCGCGAGTGCGCCGGAAGTATTCAGGAAGATTAATTGAAGACCGATTATTGCAAGGCAAGTCACACAGATCCTAAACACAATCCTTTGAGCATGTTGATTCTATATTTAAATTCTCTATTTATTTCAACTGTGCATTTATTTTCGAATGTCACCGGGTGGTGTGAACCTTTTCCTTTGTTATGGCCAATTTGCATTGAATGCCCTATTCCTTGATACCTTGGGTAATAAATTGATTAGCTTGAACCTTATGTATTGGTTTGGTTCAGCTAAATGTTATATATATAATTGCTTAGCAATGCTTAGAAACATTAGCTCACTAATGTGATGAATCATATATACTACATTATTATTTATGGTTATATTTAATGGTAGCTCACGATGGTTAATCGTGTTATGATAATTAATTGATAATTAAAACTTGATTAAAGGTGGGTTGTGAGCAAATGGTTTTGAAAGTCGTGCTCATGGCAATTAAGGACCGGTTCGCGAGCTACTGTTGTGAGACATTTACCGTACCAACCACAAGCCAGCATGGGCAACGGCTTTACCTTTTGTATAGCATGATTCATTGCGGGGCACCAGACTGTGAAGCGGCGAGAAGTCCGTGGGGGTCGCTGGGGAGTCCATTGCCTCTGGTTTTGAGGGGGAGATTATGATCCAGGAACGGTGCACTGTTTTGAGTTGTGTTGTGCAAAGGGTACTGTCACGATTTCCCCCTTTGCAATGCCGTGGTGGTATTTCGGGGCATGGCAACATGTGTGGAATCGTGTCTTGTGGGTACAGTGGTACACCTCTGGCCAGAGTAAAACTATTCGAATAGCCGTGCCCGCGGTTATGGGCGGGTTAAGCAATGTTTTTCGTGATTAGTCCCACACCTCTCACAATAATTATGGATGTTATAACTGGTAATAATTTGCTTAGCTCCTGGTTTGGAGTTAGATCTGTACAGCCGGGGTTGGTTGTTCAGGTTTGGTTGGGCCTGAGCAGCATGGGTGTGCTGTTCAGTGTTGATTAAAATTGATGATTAATTACTCTACTGTTTTATTTATCTTAAATCTTTGCTAAATGCTGCTTTTGCAAATGAGCCTATATTATGCCATCCTTTGGTATCCTTGTGCACTTGCATACTTGCTGTGTGGCTTGTTGAGTATGTCATATGCTCATTCTTGCAATAATCATCAAACCTCCTTTGAAGATAAAGGATCCAGAAGGAGAAGACGTTTGGCTTATACCCCAGTTGAGCTGCCTGTGGGAGTGGAGCTGAAGCCATCGCTAGACCGTTAATTCCGCTGCTGTTTTCTTTCCTTTGTAAGTATGTAACGTTATTATTAAGATGGATTTGTATATTAAATTGTCAGTTTGTGTACCTCGGCTGATTCCTGGACGAGGATTTTATGCACAAATTAGTTCGGAAATTACTAGTGAATTTCCGGGCGTGACAGATTCACTGTGTTTTTAGGATCAAATCTAATATCCTGGAGTGCTAGAAAGCAAGCCACAGTATCCAGGTCTAGTACATAAGCAGAGTATAAAGCAGTTGCTAATGCTACAGCTGAGGTAATGTGGATACAGACTTTGTTAAAAGAAATTGGGATTCATTCGCCTCAGTCTGCCTGTTTGTGGTGTGATAATCTAGGTGCTACTTTGTCAGTAAATCCTGTTTTTCATGCTCGTACTAAACATATAGAGGTGGACTATCATTTTGTCAGAGAAAGAGTTGCTAGAAAACAGTTAGAAATTAAGTTCATTTCATCTGGTGATCAAGTAGCTGATGGGTTTACTAAGCCTCTTCTTATACAACAGTTTCAGAAGTTTAGATACAATCTTAACTTAGATAAATTATGATTGAGGGGGAGTGTTAGAAAGGTTGTTCCTGTTACATGCGTTTGCGGGTGGACAAAAAGCTCAAAACTCGTGGCTCGGATCGGCTTGTAGCAAGCTCGGCTTGGATCGACTCGAACTCGTAGTCTTAATGAGTCGAGTCGAGCTAGCCTTTTAGCTCGTGAGCTTAACGAGCTAACTCGTGAGCTGCTCGTTTAGCTCGTTACTATAAAATATCACCAAATCTTTATGAACTTAGTGTTTATTGACTAGTGCTTAGTCTTTTATTTACATCAAAACTATTCATATTTAGTAAGTACTATATTAGTTAGTGTTTATTATTATGTTAATACATAATAAAATGTTAAATTTGAAATTATTAATATGATACTAATAAGATATAGCTCGTTAACGAGCCTAACGAGCCAGCTCGCGAGCCGAGCCGAGCTAGCCTTTTAGCTCGTTAACATTAACGAGCCGAGCAGAGCTGGCTCATTAAGATAACGAGCTCAAACGAGCCGAGCCTTAACGAGCCGAGCTGGCTCGTTATCCTGCGTTGTTACATGTGATAATGCATGAGATAATAGGATATGGTTGGTTCGGTTAGTTTGTTTCAGAGTTTGTTTCTTTCTTCTATCCGAATCAACTGAGATTGATCTCATCTATTGTAAGCCACGTTGGGGGCTGTTCCCAACTCATATTAACACACGTACGCGGCCTCGAGAGAGGTGACAACGCTTCCGTATTTTCTACAGGCGGAGCCGGCGACGATCATGGCGATGAAGATCTTGGCATCCGCAGAGGCGGAGGCGAGGATGAAGCGTCGAAGGCCCCCGTAGGTCTCCGATGCACGCTTGCAGATCGGTTTTTTTTGGCATGTCTCATGCCTGTAGATCGATCTGTTTGCGGACGTGCATGCATGCATGCATGCCATCGTGGTGGGCGCGAGGCCGGCCGGTCGCCCGGCCCCTGCATACGGGCCGGCCCGTGCGCATGGCTTACGCGATCAGCGGCATGGCCGAAGCCCGCCGTTCTGCGGCGAATCGCTTGATCTCGATCCCCCATCCATACATGCCCGCGTGCGGCAACATCGGCGGCGGCAGCGGTTGCCTGCGATCGGCAAGGCGACGCGACGACGATGTTGATCATCAGACCTCATCGACCGGCACAAACATGCAAGCCAAACAACCAACAGATTAGATTCATAATTTGTAATCCAAAATCAATCTAGCTAATTAATTAGCAAGGACAAAAAGTGATTCTCTGTAGATGTGATGCATGTGTTGACGATATGATTCAATCAGTGGCGTAGCCAGGGGTAGTCCCGGTGGGCTCGGGACTACCCCCGAATTTGGCCCACGAACCCTCACCCCCAATATTTTAGCCTAGACTCAAGCCTAAAGAAGCAAGCCCAATAAGAAACTAGAAGCACAGGGGCATGACTCATCACTTCATCAGTGTGCAGCCGTCACCATCGTCGCTCCGCGATTCATAGGAATTTTTTTCGTATAAAAGGATTGATAGGATTCAATCCTTTTGTCTCAAAAGCTTTCATAGGATTTCTACTTTTTTCTCCAAATCATAGGGTCTAAGTAAAAGAGACTTAATTAGTAAAAGCCAAGTGTTTTTATGAGGCTTTGATGAGGGTTCGCAAAGTCTCCCTCGTCACTTAGCTCCAGTCCTGCTCAGTGCGAGGACAGTGCGGTGAAATACTCTGGCTAGCGTAAAAATGGGAAGGATGCGTGTTTTACATGCATATGTAAAATATATTTCAAACAATTTTGGTAAGTCTAAAAATATATGTAGTATTATTGTTCCTATATGGTCTTTAACATTATATTTTGATTGTTGATTTCTTTCATAATATTATAAAGGACAAAGAAATCCACATCATGAGAAAATATTTTAGGATCAAAATATAATAATACTACATGCATAAGACTAAGCACGGATATTTTTAGTTCATTTATTGGTCAAGTTTTCAAGTAGTGCTGATTTTTATGAACGTATTATTTCCTTCATCGTATAATAATTTACTATCGTTTGTCATAGATAGTTGACATCGTCGGACTTTTTCTGAATCAAACTTTTATAAATTTGATGTCAAGAAAGACTTGATAATAGGGCACCCTAAGTTCGACCCATATAACGCACTTCTCAAACAGGAATTAGGAGTGGCCTGCTATGTATGCATGCTGTAGTAAGATGTATTTAACTTCTCCATGTATAAGTGCTTCCTTATATTTTATGATGATGATGCCCCCCACCTCTCTCTCTCTCTCTCTCTAAGAATATTGAGATTGGCAAAATAGAATGTGCTGTACGACTACAGAAGTAATTAAGTAGTACTCCCTCCGTTTCGAAATGTTTGACACCGTTGACTTTTTTAAACATGTTTGACCGTTCGTCTTATTAAAAAAATTTAAGTAATTATTAATTTTTTTCCTATCATTTGATTCATTGTTAAATATATTTTTATATAGGCATATAATTTTACATATTTCACAAAAGTTTTTGAATAAGACGAACGGTCAAACATGTGCTAAAAAGTCAACAGAGTCAAACATTTCGTAACGGAGGGAGTAGTATACATATATGATTGCCAAGATACACATGCACCACGTATAGCTAGCTAGCTGCACAACATATATGGAGTATTTCTCATAACGTACGTACACACTACACGTACAGTAGTGAGGAACCATGATTGAATTAAGAAGGTACAAATTAATAGTACAATAGGATATTATATAGATGATGAATGCATGGTCACACAAGCATTTTTGCCGAGCGGGCCACACTAAGGTTGCCGGCCGGCCAAATTGTTGTTAAGATAGAAATTAAAGAGTGAGATTACATAACATAGGGGTGGTACCCCATCAAATTCATTAATCAAAGTTAAGGTACTGCATGCGATGAAGAAAGATCGAAAATAGGAAAAAGATCGAGATACAGCTGATCCAATCATGCACCAACGAGACTTCACTGCAGGGGCTAGCATGAGATGCAACTTATATAATTAAGGAGCTAGCTAGCAATATAAGCAGTATAGCAGTAATAGATGATGCATATATGGATCGATGGAGGGGAGCTAGTAGAGACCAGGCTTGTAGTTGAGAGCGTTGGGCAGCCACTGGGTGCCGTGGATGAAGCGGTCGACGGTGTACTCCTCAGCTTTGCTAGCGTCGACCACGGAGAAGCCCTCCCAGTTGACGCGGCGGCTGGTGTCCGATCCGGGTCCCGTATTGTTGAACTTCATGTACGACACGGTCTTGGTCGTCTCCAAGACGTGCTTGCTCTTGTCCCACTCCACCCAGCCCTTCGGGTGCACGATGCCGTCGAGGAACGACTGCATGAAGATGACGTGCGAGTGGTTCTTCCACGGGCGGCCGAGGAATGTCTCGACGCCCGTCAGGTTCTCGTTGGGCTTGGCCATGATGCTGCAGTTCTGGAAGCTGAAGCCGGTGTCGTCGCCGGGCTTGTCGCGGCCCTGCGCCGTGATGATGTTGTGCGCACCTTCCCTTCCGCGGCGCACGAGGAGATGGCATCTCTGGAACACCGCCTTGGCGTTGCCGAAGACGAAGTCCACCGTGCCTGAAATCACGCTGTCGAGGTACAACTGCAGTCCGTTCTCAGCGTACAAGGTGTCCTGAAAGCTCTCCAGCTCGCACCGGTACAGTACAGTGTGGTTGGAACTAGAGCGAAGAGCCAACGACTGGTTCCCCTCCGGTCCCGCCGTGTTCTGTATCGTCAGGTCTCGGGCCATGAAACCGCGGCCTGAGGCAGCTGCATACAGTATATATACGTACATACACTGATCAAAATAAAATTTCATATATATATATATATATATATATATATATATATATATATATATATATATATATATATATATATATATATATATATATGTCATTCCTTCCTATACAATACAATATATAAACATCAGCACATAACATATTATAATGTCATACTATAATTCAAAATAACATATTTCTTTTAGAAGTATTGGAATATAGTTAATATGAGTCTTTAACTGCAAATTAGTTATAAATAATCCAATGTCGTAAGCTTATAAAAATTAGCTATTTATTTTAAAAGATTATCATAAACTATGGTTTATAATCTAAATAATATAGCATGAAAACAATGAAAATTGTGGCAAGTGGATAGACATATTGTAAGCATCATATGCATGATTACATAATCTCGGTGTACTTAATTTATGCTCCAGTGCAGTCTAGCTAAACAAATTATTTGTAGAGAGGTTGGCTTCGAGTACATAATTCCTAATATTAATTATTCCAAAAAAAATGATGCCTTCGTACGTAGTTATATTTTACCATCCAATCGTGTTCTTGCTAGGCTATGTGAAGCTTTGCACACTTGCAAAAAATAATCCTATATAGGTTGTCTCCTATATACTGCGCAATAGATTTGGACTCTACAAGCTTGTGTATTTAACATAGTCTCGAACCATCCTAATCCATCAATTAATAAATAATGAGAACATACTTTAGTCTTAGATGTTTATACAAAAATCGATTCATTTTTTTCGAAAATGGTTGGCATATAAGGTGTAACACGCTGTCACTATTTTGTCATCTCACAAAATCTGAACTTAAAGTAAGATTTCATAAAGAAAATAGAAAATACAATAGGGAGCAAAGTGAACTAATTATAGAAAAACATAGAAAATTCTTAGAAAAAAGCTCTTTGCTTCCACTTAAACTAGAACACCCATTACCATAACCATTACATATTTTTCGAGTGCTCCGATGCTTACATGTAAATATACACGAACCAATTAGAGGGCGATGATTGTATAAAATAACACGTCTATTAAACACTAATAGTTTTTAAGATTTGTTTAAAAAATAAAGCCCATAAACAATCAATTCTAAAAACGAAAACACATTACTTTTAATTTACACTTTATTTGTGAAACGAGACTAAGCCAATCTTCTTTAAACTGATTAAGCAAATTAATGGAGGTAAATTAAATATTATATAATATAAAGACAACAAATAGTTTGTAAAAAAATATTTAAGAAATACTGGTGAAGAATGTTTTTGGGCAATCATACTTTTCCACTGCAGCACGAATAATCCAGTAGATATGTTTTTCTTATAGTTTCTAACACAACTTAATATGTATGCCCGCGCATTCCTTGCTAGTTAATAAAAAATATTCAAGCTAGCTAAGGTACGACTAATTAACTAATTAAATTAAGCAAGGCATATGCATGCAAATTAATTAAACACAGTTACATATTCTTTAGGTAGCCATAAGAGAATAATACTAGGACTACTTACTAACGGTAGCCGATGAAGGCATGTCGCCATGCTTGAGGGAGCCACGGTTGCCGGTGATCACCGTCTTGCCCACTCCGTCGCCGAACAAAGTCACATCACGCCTCGTGATGTTGAGCTGCTCGATGTACGTCCCCTCCCCGATACGGATAGTGTAGGACGACCGTACCTTCTTCGTGCTCTTGGGCGCTGCCGCCAAGGCAGCAGCGATCGTCCTGTAATCGCCGCTGCCGTTCTTCGCCACGGTCACCTCGACCACCGGAGAACGCCTGCCGTGCGCCGCCGCTGATCTGGCGCCGCCGCGCAGGAGACGCTGCAGCCGCGGCTTTGCCCAACCAGGGAGTTCTGCGCCACTAGTTGGGAGGCAGCAAACAAGAGCAGCCACGACGAGAAGAAGAGGCAGCTGCAGACTAGTGTTCTTCATGCTTGCTCTTGGCTCACTCTAACTGGACTGAACGAGTTGATGTGCCAGCCTCTGGTTAATTTCCTTCATATATATATCTATACACACACATGCCCGGCCGGCTGATAGATCATGAGCTGGAGCTAGGGCGAAGCTAGCAGTACAACTCCGAGCCTATATATAGCTAGCTAGGGATTGAAGGCTCAGCCCAAGTATTTAACCTAACCTAATTGCTAGATCCCTCCTACGTACTATTACCCTACTTCCCCTATACCTTGGTCGGCCACTTGTGAGTTAGTATATACTCCCTCCATCTACTTTTGATAGTCATATTTCCAAATCTGAAAATTTTATTTTTGATAGTCATATTTCAATCAACAACCCATCATCTTAATGACTTTCTCGAATTTAATGCGTGACTCTCCATTCTACCACACATGATTGGCTACATGGGTATTGAGAAATGTAAATATTAATGAATCGCTTGTTTACGAGGAATAACTAGTAGCATATTTAAATGAATGATAAGTAGAATTACTTATCCTTGGTCTGTGTGTCAAGGTGAAATATGACTATCAAAAGTAGATAGAGGGAGTACTAGTGTATCAATTATCATAGCGTACAATATTATATTATAAACCAGCTATAAACACGTATCGAAAAGATAAAAGAAGAGAGATAAGCAGCGGGCTACAAATTTATAGCCAGCTGCAGTATTGACTCCAACACACAATGTGTGTATAACGAGTGGGACCATATATTAATACTGTAGTATATATATATTTATAGATAACTATTATATGAATTGACTATTAAATTGACTATATATGATTTGGAGCTGTTAGTTGGCTATACTATTAAACAACTTGCTCTCAGTTGTGTATCCGACCAAAAAATGTTAAAATTAAGATAAGTGGCCTGTCATAATTGTTAGCCTAGCTACTGCTGCTGTATATCCTCCACTATATATTACTCTACTATAGCTATTGTATAGTAGTACTTAATTAGTACTAGTATATATAGGTCTCCTCCCAACGTTCATCTCGATCGATCCGCATCGGTCAATTAATATATGTTTGTGCTGTAGTTGCATGCATGCATGCATGTACGTAGGGCGGGTCTCTAGCTGAAGTAATTCTTTTCGCCATTGATCCCCTTGATGCTTGGTCGGTCCTGCATCGATCGATCATTTCCATCAATATCGATCACAAGCAAGCTAGGTTCCATTTTTTAGTATCGATCGTCTCTGTCTTAATAGTACTGAACGATCGCGAGAGAAGAAGATCGATAATTATGGGGAGCACCAGTCTTGGATGCATATTATTTGTACCTGTATTATTTCGCCGGTGCAATGTTAATTTCCCGCTCCATATTATCACTACCACAAAAATACTCATTGGTGCCAGTTATAAAGGCCTCATAGGTGCCGGTTTTGGGCCCGGCTCCAATTGGTCGGTGCTAGATCTGGAACCGGCACCTATAGCTTTCAACAAATAAAAAAAAAGAAAAATAATCCCGGCAACCCATCGCCGGCCGTCGGCCACCTCGCCTGGCGTACGCACCAGCCATCTCCACCTTCGCCGCCATCACCAGATCTGGAGGAAAAGGGGGTAGGGCGGACGAAGAGGATGAGGGAGGGCCCCCAGGGAGAGAGAGACCTGCATCGATCCATCATTTCCATCCATATCGATCACAAGCAATTAAGGTCAGATTGTCCATTTTTGAGTATCGATCGTCTCTGTGTCTTAACAGTGATCGATCGAGAGAAGAAGATCGATAAGGGAGCAGCAGTCTTGGATGGATATTATTTGTACCTGTATATATATATGCTGCTAGTACGTATACAAGCTAGCAATAGAGTCTGTAATGCAACACAGTTAATGCTTGTGCTATATATCAGATTAATTAATGGCCATACTATTGTCATATATATCTGCAAATTAAGGAGCTTCTTTTTAATTTCACTCTCAAGTTCTCAATTTGTTCAGTAGTACGTGGTCTGCCTATGAATATATGTTCAGACCGGAGACCATGATCACATGGTGGGCGCTGGCTCTGTATCTAACAATATATGCAAGCATGCATGCATGTTCTATGTTCCATCGTATCCTCATAAACCAACTCGATAGATCTACCAGAGATGACTCAAACTCAATGCTGGAGATCGAGACCATGATAGGGAGTGTTTAATTTGTATATTCGGTTTATTAGTCAAACACTAATTTAACCCAAATAAAATATTAGTCTGTTGGTAATTTTGCTGATTATCTTATAATAGTTTCAGTGAATATTTAAAAAGATGAAGCATATGGTTGACCAACGTTAATCACACTTGAATTTATCGTTTAGTCACTGGTAAAAATATTTAAAAGATGAAGCATGGCTGCATCCTGTCGGTCACTACTTCAAAAATTATTTTTGTTGACGGCCAAAATAAAAATTTATATATAACGTATATAGAAATCGCAGTGTAGTTACACTGTAGTTACAATACAACTATAGTGTAATTACATTATACTTGCGCTACAACTATACTATAGCACATCCACACAAGTAATATACATCACAAATTGACACAACTTTGAGTAATAAACTACAAATCCACATAAGCAACCGTGAGTATAACCTAATCTGAAATTTGGCAATGAAAATTTGCAGAACCTACAAGAGTTGGAAATGGCGGCGGCGCTAGCGGGTGAAGGAGACGGTGGACGATGCCGGCGGTCGAGGGTAGAGGCCGCCGGATCCAACGGTTGGCGGTGCGGTGGAGGCGGCTGCCGCCGGATCTGGCAAGCGGCAGTGGGGTGGCGGAGGAGGAGGCGACTGGCGGTCGGTGGAGAGGCGCCGGATCCGCGTCCCCCAAACGTGTCAAGGCTTGCGGTCGTTAGGCGTGTGAGGCAGCGGCGTCCGGCGGTCGGCAGGCGGAGGAGGAAGTGGCCGGCGGTGGGGCGGGGGAGAGGCCGTGGTGGTCGGATCCGCGCTCTGTAGCCCAGATCCAGTGGCCGATGGTCGGAAGGTGGGGGGAGGCGACGGTGTCTGGTGATCGGGAGGCGGAGGAGGAAGCGGCCGGCGGTGGGGAGAGAGGCCGTGGTGGCTGGATCCACACCCTGTAGGCTAGATCCGGCGGCCGGCGGTCGAAAGGTGGGGGAGGCGGTGCTGGCCGGCGGTCGGGAGACGGAGGAGGAAGCGACCGGTGGTGGGGGGAGAGGCTGCGATGGCCGGATCCGCGCCCCGTTGGCCAGATTCGGCGGCCGGCGGTCGGGAGGCGGAGGAGGAAGCGGCCGGCGGTGGCCGCTACTCGCGCGTGGAGTCGGAGGCCGCCGCCGGACTTGGTGCTCGGCGCGTGGATGCTCATTGACGGGAGAAAGAAAGAAAAATGAGAGAGAGAGAGAGGGATGGATAAGGTAAAAGAAAAAACGAGAGATGAGTGGTCTCGGACCGTCGGTGGGAGATAGATAAGGATTGGGTTGGGTGGTTTCTACCTGTGAAGAACAAAAAAAGGACCTGTTAGAGATGGATTGGGTTGGATCTGTGTAACACACTGAAAATTCGACCAACAAAATCAAAAAACTCTAAAAATACGGACCTTCAAAAACTTTTTAAATAAATTACATCATGCCGGTTTTATTCGCCTTTTTCATTGGATTTTGATTTCGTAGTTTATTAATCGCGAATAAAGAATAAGTAATTAGGAATAAACCCTAAAATTCATTTGGCTAAATAAATAATTGAAAAACAATTTAAAATAAAGATTAGGTGAGGAAAGAAATAAATAAAATATTATCGCGACCATATTGGTAACAATCAAATTTAAGTGCGATGGAATAAGAATTAGCCCTAATTAAAAATTCAAATAAATTATATAAAAATAAAATATGGGTAATATTAATCTAGGGTGAATACATTGGTTAGAATAACAGAGTAAACTTCATTTATGCAAAAATAAGGATTTATAGAATAAAATATATATAGGAAATAGGCTAAAATAGGGTTAAATGGGACCTGGCACTATTCATTGCACGCTAGGTGTTCGAGAGCGTCCCTAGCCCTGGCCCCTCCTCTGCCGCGCGCGCCTCGCGCCCCGAGCCGCCGCGCGCCCATCGCCATCGCCACATCGCGCCCCGCGCCCTTGCCCTGCCGCGCGCCTGTCACGCCGCCGTCGCTGCGCGCCGCTCGCCCGTCGCCGTCCCGCGCGCCGAGCCCCGTGCCGAGCCGCACCAAGCCCCGCGCTGCGCCGCCCGCCCGTCGCGTCACCGCCTCGAGCCCCGTGCCGCCGCGCCGTCGCGTCGCCACTCGTCGCCGTCACCCTGAGCCCCGTGGGCCGCCGTCGCGTCGCCATTAAGCCGGCCACCCCCCTCTCCTTCTTCCCCCTCTTCCCTATAAATACCTCCACCCCCTCCCCATTTCTTCCCACCCCATTCCCCTCTTTTCTCCTCTCTTCCTCTCAACCGCGCCGCCGCCTTCGTGCCGCAGTGCCGCCGCGCTTGGTGCCGCCGCGCCGTGCGTCGCCCCGCCTTGCGCCGTCGTCGCCGCCGCCGTCGTCGGTAAGCCGCCCCCCCCCCTTGTTCGGTCGCCGTTGCCGCCTGGGTAGGCAGGGAGCCGAGAGGGAAGGGAGAAGCCGGGAGGGAGAGAAAAAGAAAGAAAAGAAGAAGAGAGAAAAAGAAAGAAAAGAAGAGAGAAAAAGAAATGGAAAAATAAATAGAAAATTAGAGAGAGATTAAGGAGGTTTAGAACATTTAAAATAATTAGAATTTAATTATAGATTATTTGTAGTCGTAGAATTGCAAAATTTTATATAATTATAGATTATTTTTGGTAATCTCTATAACTAATCAATTCGCGGTAGATATTCGGATTTAATTACTAAGAGTTGTATTTTTCGTTGAATTTTAAAGAAGATACTTTTAAATCGCAAAATGACTTAGGTTGAATGAGCTTAAAATTGGAATAGCGTGGTTTCGCAAACTTTGTAGTCGATATAGAAAGATCGATTCGCGTTCGACTTTTTGAGTTTATTGGATTTTTATTTGAATTCTAATTGAATTCAAATC